AGCAGGAGCCATGTACATGTATACTGGTTGTAATTCATGTCCTAATTTATTTAATTGCCTTAATTTATTTCATAACTGACTATTTATTTTAGGTGACTAAGGTTCAACAGGCTGAACCGTTTAGAAAATTAACTGGTAAGCTACTATTGATAGACTTGGCTGGTAGCGAGGATAATAAAAGAACTGGTAACCAGGGAATAAGGTAAATTATAACTCGCAAAATCCAGGTTCTTGGGTGTAATTATTCGTCTCTGTGATTATGTGGGGTTACTGTAAAATACTTTATTCTCGCTTGGAATTAATTTAGTTATTTTCGCTGAAGGAATGATTCAGTGAAAATAAAATCCAGCAAATATACTATTTTTCTTATATTTTACATTCAACTTGTCGAAAATCAGTGAAAATAAATTCCATACAAAACACCCAAAAAATCTTTTCAGTGAAAATTAATTCCAGCTAAAATAAAGTATTCTACAGTAGATACAATTGTACATCAAAACAATTGAAGATCTTTCAAACAAGATGTCACAGTATAGTGAAACCACAAGTTATTCCCCTCCCCGAAGACCTAGAGTGGAATTGTCAATTTTGTTTCCATCATTAACATGATCAAGGGTGATAACAATTATATTAGGCAACATTTTATGTCTGTCTTTCTTCAAGTCTGTTAGTCACCCACTAGCATCCTCAGGGGAAACGAATGTGTTGCCCTTACCATGTTACTGAAAAAATAAACTTTCTATTTGATAAAATGTAACTAGAGCAGATAGAAAGTTTTTATTTTTATAGTAGACTCATAGGGTATTCATGCATCTATGTATGTACATTAATGTAATATATTTACCTAAAAATAAATGTTCATGCATTGAAAAATAAGTAAAACTATTTTATGTAGAACTATTTGCCATGTTAGCTGCGCTGTGTTTGACAGAATGATTGTGAGATTTTTGGAATACTAGTATGATATTTACTTCCAGTGTTATAGGATTTGATGGCAGTGTGTGGTGCAAAGGTGTGATATGTAACAAGGAAAGAAATAATGCTTGGGTTTAGTCACAAATATTGGTATGCCAGCAAGGAGTAGAACCTGTTACTATGACATAATCACAATGAATTCTAGTAGTTCATTTAATGTTGGGCAATTTGGGTAAATAGTATCGCATACAGTATACAGTATGATGACTATGAAATTAACGAGAGATTGCTAAACAAAATACATTACCATCAGAATTTCTTATTTTTTTTTAAAGATTAAAGGAGAGTGGTGCTATAAACGTGTCTTTATTTGTACTTGGGCAAGTTGTTGATGCACTGAATCAAGGACTGGTAAGAAATCATTTTCATGTCTATAAAAATGCCTTGAATGTTAGAGTAAATAAAACTATTATAGAAGGCACTTGGGAGACTTGGAAGATTCAAAGAAAAATTGTTTTCACATTTACCCTGTATATATGAACTTGCTTACTGTCAAGTGCCATAGAAACATTGACATTAACCCCATAATTTCTCTATAGGATTTCAAATACTTTACCATGTAGCTCAGTAAGATATATTTATTACACAAATTTCCACTTTTTTATCATGTATGTATTTCACGATCTATGCTTACTTTATCTACAATTTAAGTTACTACATTGTATATGTACATATAGGACAAGGTGCCTTGTGATCCATCTTTAATGATAACTTTTAATATTTTCAGCCAAGAATTCCATACAGAGATAGCAAGTTGACCAGATTACTCCAAGTATGTATATCATGTTGTAAAATACCTGCAACAAACATTTAGATCATTTAAAAAAAATCTCATGTCTGACTGAATGGAATTATCTCGTCAGTTTAAAAAGTGTCTTTTTTTTGGTTGTCATCCAGGGAAGTATACTAACATGTCTGTGTGTAATATTAACCTTGAGTGTATTATCAGGTTAACACTTGTTATCATACATGTACGGATGGTTGATACGAGTGACATCATTGGCTAGTATTAGTCATGAACTAAATGTGTGTGCATATTCTAACTCATGACGTCACAGGTATCAACCACATCTATGACAGAGAAATCATGATATTAAGGAACTATTATTATGAAGCATAAGAAAACTTATGTTTATAATGCATGACATTTTACAGTTACAGCCAAGATCACTGGAAATGTCTTTTGAAATAGACTCAGTCATTATTTAAGCAATAACCCTCGCCGAAGGCGGGTATACCACAAGATATTGCACAATGCACGACATATATGCACGAGCCGCAGACGAGTGCATATATGGAGTGAATTGTGCAATATCAAGTGGTATACCCAACTTCGGCGGGGGTTATTGCTATTATATTATACCAGTATATTGACAATTCGATAAAACTAGTAAAAAAAGAGTTTACTTTCATCTACTAAAAGATCATGATTATGGCCCTTGAACATGAATATTTATAAGAATAGTATGTAGTTGTACGCTGAATGCATACAAAAATTACATGCGCAACACAGTTCAAATTGAATACAAACTAATTTTTATTCCACATGAAAAAGAAACATATCCACGTTGAATAGAGCAGCGTAAACACACAAATTAGCATAACAAAGGATGACCTTTCTGACCGATTGAAATACAGGGTCGTGTACAGTTTGGATCATTTAAACAATGGATTTTCCATGTTTTCATTCCGGTTTTTGTACAATTTGGACTGTAATTTGCCCATTGAAAGTACAGTTGGGAAATAAACCGATTTTGTGACTCATCATACTACTTGTAACTGTGGATATTTGACGTTCAGCGGTACTTGGTTTGAACGAAATTTGAGACGTGGCGGGATGCGGTGTATCATGTACGGCGACCGGCACAGCGACCTCAGTTCCAACATCTGACCTGGATACCTTTGGTATAACCAAAGTTTTGTGACAGTATGACTGACAAGTTTTGTCGTTGTTCTGGGGTAAGTTTG